CCCCAACCCCCACCCCACTCCCCCAGTCCCTCCCATGGCTGCGCTGCCCACCGTAGCTCCAGCCATTTAAGAAAAAAAAATGGAGAGAAGCCCCAGGACTCAGCACTCCTGCAGCATCCTTGGGGCTTTGGGGGCTCATACAGAGCCCCCCACGTGGCGCAGGGCAGCCTGCCACTGGAAGGAATGGTAAATCCAGGGGTTTCACAGGTTTTTTTTTCTTAAAGGGCCAGAACTGCGGTGGGCGGGGCAGCCATGGGGGACCTGGGGGGCTCATGCAGAGCCCCCCACACAGCGTGGGGCAGTGGGGGGCAGCGGGGATCGCCCCCTGCCCGGCAGCACCCGGTGAGTTGAGGCTTTTTTTCCCAAGTGCCTGGAGCTGGGCGGGGCAGGGCAGCCATTGCCAGGCAGGGAGAGCGGGCGGGGGATGGGCCTGCCTGATTCGGAGATTTGGAGATTCGGTGGCAACCGAATCTCCAAATCAGATTCAGCCGAATTGATTCAGGACAGCAATTCAAATCACCAAATCAAACCACTGTCCCCTGAATCAGCCGAATCTGAATCCGAAGCGAATACTAGCCGCTTTGCACAAGCCTACTGCAGCCTACATGAGCCCATTTCCCTCAGCCTCTCCTCATGTCATGTTCCTCAGCCCCCTCTCACCATTTTCATTGCCCTCTGCTAGATTCCCTCTAATCTGTCCACATCCTTTCCGTAGCAGAGGGCCCAAAACTGAACACCGTACTGCAGATGTGGCCTCACCAGTGCTGGATAGAGGGGAATAACCACTTCCTTCAATCTGCTGGCAATGCACCTACTAATGCAGCCCGGTATACTCTTTTGCAACAAGGGCACACTGTTGGCTAATATTGAGCTTATTGTTCACTGTAACCTCCAGGTCCTTTCCTGTAGAGCTGCCACTTAGTCAGTCAGCCCCCAGCCTGGACTGGTGCATGGCACTCTTCCATCCTAAGTGCAGGAATTGGCACTTGTCCTTGTTGAACGTCATGAGATTTCTTTTGGTCCAATCAACCAATTTCTCTAGGTCTCTCTAAATCCTAGCTCTACTCTCTAGTATATTTACTACTCCCCACAGCTTGGTGTCATCTGAAAACTTGCTGAGGGTAGACTCCTTCCTTCCTTTCCTCAGGATCCTGAACTCAACCATGCTGTGGTCACTGGTGCCCAAGTTGCCATCCGCTACTACATTCCCCATCAATTCTTCTCAGTTTGTGAGCAGCAGGTCAAGAAGAGCACGGCCCCTAGTTGGCCACTCCAACACTTGCTCCAAGAAGTTGTCCCCAACACTCTCCAAAAACTTCCTGGATTGCCTGCGCACTGCTGTATTGCCCTCCCAGCAGGCGTCAGGGTGACTGAAGTCCCCCATGAGAACCAAGGCCTGTGATCTGGAAACTTCTGCTAGCTGTATGAAGAAAGCCTCATCCACCTCATCCTCCTGGTCAGGTGGTCTATAGCTCACACCCACTACAGCATCACCTTTGTCGTTCTCCCCACTGGCTGACCTTAATCCAGAGACTTTCATGAGGTCTGTCTCCAGTTTCATACTGGAACTCTGAGCAATCATGCAGCTCTTTTACATAAAGTGCAACTCCTCCTCCTCTTCTTCTCCCATCCTTGTCCTTCCTGAACAGTTTATACCCATCCATAACAGTGCTCTAGTCATGGGCGCTTTCCCACTATGTCCCTGTTATTCCTGGACTTGAGTACCATTTCCCATGGAAGCCAGCATGCTCCACGTACAGTTTCAGCAAATCAACATTTTCCAAAGAAATATTTTTTTTCAGAAAATTCCGGAAAATTTTCTGAGAATTAGACTTGGTTTGCAAACTTCCCTCAG